TATATATATTACTTTATTAAAATACTATTAATTTGTAATCATGTATTAAATAGATAACTTTTAAAATGAATTTTTGACATGGTTTATAAGAAGGTTTCCAAAATGGTTTTGTGGCTTTTTACAGTTTATTTCTATATGTGGTTTTTTTTAATTGGCTGTCAACAATTGGTTGAAAACCTATATATCCATTAACTTATTGAAAAAGCTGATAATAAAAACTTGTTTATTAATAAATTCAGTGAAAGAGGTAAGCCATTAAAAAAAAAAACTCTTCCAATAAATTTTTAACTTTTAATTTGATTTTAATATGAAAAATCTCTTATTTTTTTTTTTTCAAACAACCTTCCTATGTGAATGCTCCAAGAAAATCTTTTGTTAAATCTTGGACCGATTCAAATTTTGGTGAAAGTTACCATATGCGGGGCCACAACCTAAAGTTATATCTTTTCCATTAATTTTTATCTTTACAGAATTACACCTTACTATGTTTTATTTTTATTTTATTACCTACCCATTTTCTTACATGTGCTTAATATATAAGAAAATATAGCAAAAAGTATATAAAAATATTACACTACTAAAAATATAGCATCTATATGTTTAAAATATGATCAAAATAAATATTCGATATTAGTTTTATTTTTCAATTTATAATACCATTAAAAAAAAATTTAGTTTTTATTTTGGTTGGGAAACCATGAGTTGTCGTTGGTTTTATTTTTGTAATACTTTCATTGTTGTCATATATTTGATATTGCAGTAATATGTATAATAAAATTTGTTATTAATGTGTTTTCTTATTTAATATAAAAATATATGTTAAAAAATATAAATAAAGAAGTCGATTCAAAAGTTTATGGATAATATGGATGGGTTTATAGCGTGACATTTTTATGACATTAAATTGTTTTGTTCTCTAAAACCTACTAATTAAGTCAATTTCGCCTTTATGTTTCATTGTTTTCTTCTTCCTTGTTTCGTCGGCAGCTTTTAATAGTTTTCATTTAAAAATAAAAACTACCAATAATATAATTCAATCACATGCAAAAAATGGCAGTATGTTACCAAACACACTTAAATAAGAATTTAATTGAAGTAAAGGATAAGAATTGGTTGTGAATTGTCAAAGAACATGCAATCTTGGCCCCAATCCTCAACACCCAACCACTATAAGGACTAGGACATAGCAATAAATTTTTCATTCATAAAACCTTCTATATATAGAGACGTGTAACACACTAATTTCCACATCCCTCTTCCGTATATTTCCTTTTGTATTAAACAAGTGAAAATGGCTCCAAGAGCTTTCCTTTTTCTTGCTCTAGCTTTTGCTGTTGTCCTTCTCATTACCTCCGAAGTGGCTGCAGCTAAGGAGTTGGCTGCAGGTGAGATTAACGACAGTGGACGTGGCGGATACAGCGGTGGTGGTGGGCGTGGAGGGAATGACAATGGTGGTGGCCGTGGAGGAAATGATAATGGCGGTGGTCGCGGAGGGCATGACAATGGTGGTGGCCGTGGAGGAAATGACAATGGTGGTGGCCGCGGAGGAAATGACAATGGCGGTGGACGTGGAGGGCATGACAATGGAGGTGGACGAGGAGGGAACTACAATGGTGGAGGAAATAGAGGTTGCAGGTATGGCTGCTGTGGACGTTCCTACGGAAGAGGAGGGTGCAGGTGTTGCAGCACATTTGCAGAGGCAACTGCTTACAAACAAACTCAAAACTAAGCACCGAGAAGGAACCATCTTTTGAGTTATGTACTAAAAAGATGTTTCAAAAAACAATTATGCATTACGTACTGCTTATATGTCAAATAATTAGCACGACTTCTTTCGATAGAAGTATGCAGTTAATATGTATCGTAAAATAATATATCTTTTAATTCTCTATGTCCAAATATATGCCATTTTCAATACGTGGTCGCATTTCCTTCAACATCACGAAT